TTTTTTTTTTTTTTTTTTTTTTTTTTTTTTTTTTTTTTTTTTTTTTTTTTTTTTTTTTTTTTGACAAAATATGTTTTTATTGAGAAAAATGAAAAAGTACAAGAGCATACAAAAAGAAAGTCCAACAAAAAAAGAGAGTTCAACCCTAACCACAAACAAGGCATCTACATGGCTAATAAGCTAAGTTAGTATACTAAGATGGAGGAAGCTCAGATGCTAAGTCTCAACTTAAGGAAGAGTTTCACACAGGATTCTTTCCCAAACCCCTTGTTCTGTATACCGACATTAACTTTTTATCTAGCCCCTCTACGCTTACTAACACTTACATTCCATCCTCCTATTCATCTCCAAACTTTGTTTGATCTAAAATTTTAATGGTCACCAACGCCAACTCTACTAAGAGAATTGAATTATCAACAAAAAGACTCAAATAAAATACAAATTGTGAGTTTAAAATTGTTGATTCTGGTCTTGAACATTATTGTTTACATTCAATGAAAAATTATGTAATTATACAGCTAATAGACTGGAATTTAATTAATGGTGCACTCCACAAGAGAAAAATATTAAAAAAATTCATCAATAATTGGCGAGGGATGGAGAAGAAACCAAAAAACCGAAGACAAAGGATTGGACCTGTGTCTGTGGCTATCACGCCTTCTGTCTTTATCTCTCTCCCGCACAGGACTTCTCCCCCGATAATAATTCTGTAGATGCCAGATATCAAAAAAGTTAATAAGGATAAGAAAATGCAAACTAGATGCTCATTTTCATACAACAGATAACGACGTTTATACCTTCTCATGAATCTCATCTTCTAAAGCGTCATTAATTGGCTCAACGTCCTCTTTTTCTTCCTCCTCCTCAAAGTCATCTTCTAAAGCACTTTTCCTTGCGGGCAGTGAACCAGTAGATTCAAGGTTCCATCTGCAATTTCAAAGTGTACCATACTTCCGTTACTTCAAGAAGAAGCACAGCATTAAAAATTGAACACTAGAGACATATAAAGGGAGAGAGAGAAAACAGAACAGAAACATTTAGAACTTGTGACTCATGTATTTCTGTTTGTCAACAATGAATATTGCATTTTCTCAATAAGACATCATCAACTTTCACTTACAAACTAAATTGACTGGAAAATAGCCACGTGAGTATCAGTACCATACCTTTTCTTGACACGTGGAAGAGCAATGTCACACGAATAATCTTTAGTCAGAAGTTCATCAATGACTTCATCTACGTGAGTTAAAGAAAAACCTGATAAAAATAAGATCAAGTTCATAAATTTTTTCTTAGAGAGGCGATCAAGTTAAAAAATGACCAATTAGATAAAAATTCAACGAGGCCCAGCATTTACATCCATCAGCTAATTGTCTCCTCAGTTTCCGATAGTCATTGTACAGAGGCTCCAGGTAGCGATACACATCAACATCAGTCCCAGTGAGACGCAAGTAAAAGGCACCAAGAACCCGAACGTATCTATGTCCAAAGCAAGAAAAAAAAGTAACTTCAAAAGGATGCTTGAAATAAACCCTAAACCAACGAACCAATCACAGGAAATTACAAAGAGTTTTCCCTAATACTGCCTAGTTATTGACTCAGAAGAAATATTTACATCCAACTCAAAGCAAACTATTCATTTTCAAAACCACAAATTATAAAAGCAATTGTTGCAAACTAAGACGAGTTAATAACAACTTTAAGAACCATAGAATAAGAAGAAATACAGAACCCATTTCCAAATAGCTTCAGTTAGCACAACCAATCATGTCCTATTAGTTCATCCATTTCTTACGCTTATCAAATCACAATTACCAAAGATAATGCCCAAACAAAAAGTTTTTAAATCATTCAGTATCCATAATTTCCGATTCACTGATCAACCGCAGAAGCTTCCAAACCTACAAGTAATTATTTTCACAAGTTTCGCAGTAAGTTCCCAAAATCACGGTTTCTTTCAACTCCATAAAACAAACAATTGAAATATTCCCTCCAATTAACTCTAATCCCCAACGCTTCTAGTTAACCAAAATGCAAAGGTTCTGCTAAATGAAAATTAAAATGACAATAACAATTACTTGTAGTCTTCGTTCTTGATGAACTCGATAACGATTTCCTTCTCCGGCTGAATCTGGAGCATCTTCATAACGAGACACATGAACGGCGTAGGCTTGCGGTTGCCACCATGTGTACCGCCGAGATGGTCAAGCTCCATGGCCTTGTCGACCAATGTCTCCGCCGTCAAACCAAAACACTGCTCCTTCCAGTAAGTGTTCTGGTAGATCTTCGAGCGAAGAATTTTCTCCACCAGGTTCTGCGGGTTCGTTCCCCTTATACTTTTCGCAGCTGGATCCGTACGATTAGCCATAACCACTAGCTATAGATCGGCGAAATCGGTATTGGTGCAGGTAAATCGACGGAGAAGATTGATCGAAACCCTAATTCAGTCGCCGGACGGGGAGAGGATGGCAATATGAGTCTTGCGACTCACGAATTAGGTGGCAAATGCTCTAGTTGTATTTATATACATCCACTTCTTAATAACGGTAACAATAAAATTAGAAAAATAAAATAAAATTTTGAAAAATTGAAGGGTATTTTTGGATATTTCAAAATTTTTGAAATTTTTACCAGTAGAAGGGTATTATTGTAATTTTAAAAAAAATCTAGTTGGATAATAAACTCGTTTCGTATTATGGGCGTTGGTAGGTGAATTAGACGCTGCTCGGGATTGTCGAAGAACATACCTTATTCGAGGATGACGATGGTGTAAATATATTTCCGATGCTGTGGAAAAGAACTCGTAATTTTCTTCTTCTAAAATTATATTATATTATATTATATAAATTTATCATTAATTAATTTGAAAATATACAAAAAAAATTAAACCAAAGCTTGTTTAAAAAATGGAAATTATATTAAAATTACACTTTGAACTAAAATACTTCAGAGAGCCATTTATTTTTATCTCGTGAGGGTAATTATTTTAGTTTGTGTTAATGTATATAAAATAAATAAATAAGAAAGAAAAAATATATTTAGCCATTTACGAAAATACCCCCAAAGCCAGAAATATAGTTCCTCAGCCCAAGCCCAAATATCCAAATTGGGCCCATTTCACCACGGCCCAAAACACGTCAACAAAGCTCACGCCGACGGATCTCAGAGTCTCCGCGGGAACCATCGGTTTCCGATTTTCTCCAAATTCCAAAACGTAACCTCGCCGGCAACTGATCTCCGGCCGCGTGACTCCCCTCCGGCCGCCGCATTCCCTCCCCTTCGTCCTGATCTCCGGTCACCTGTACGGAATTTTCCTTTCGTTCGTGTTTCTTTTTCCCGGCAATGAGTTTTTGTACTTGAACAATTTCCGACAGATCCTTCGACTCCCGAGTTTGAAGAGGATTGGAATTCTTTGCAACGAGAATTCAAGCTCTTTCTTACCGCTCCATGGCGTCGAGGAATCGGACTTTGGTTTTTAGGAAATACAGGGACGCGTTAAGGAGCGTGAGGGCTCCTACCAGCTCTTCGCCTGCTTGTCCATCGCCATCGACTAGTTCTAGCGCTGGTGGACCGGTAATTGAATTGGTTAGCTCGTCGTTGTTGCATCCGAATCGGTCGTACGCTCCCTTAAGTACCGAGGATCCGGGTAATTCAAGGTCTATCTCTGTCTATAATATGTTTGTGACTGTATGCTGATTATGTAGTTTATGTGGATTTGATCCAAATCTCTTTTTCGGCGTAATCTTGCGAATTTAGTTAGAAATTGAAAATCGTTCTGTGATCGTTTTCTTGGAGAGATTGTTTGGTAAGATCTCCTCGAAATGTAAATAGAAACAATTATATATATAGAGTTACAATTCAAATGTGTCAAGATGTAAACAGAAGTGTTAAATTTCAAGCTCTGAATAGACACAAGCAGAGAATCAAACCTGAAATTCTTCAAATTGTTATGAATTCCTTCTTTACTTGAAGGTTCTTGTCGAAATAGTGGAGGGTTGGACAAGAAACAGTGGTATAATCTACAAAACAAATTTGTTATGTTGCTACAACGAAAGAGTGTATGTGCACATTTCATTCTATTTATCCAACTGACCTGCTTCTTTCGAATATCGCTATGTTATTCAATGAGCGTTATTTAGTTAATAGTGTCAGCGGGTATGCAATAGAGTCACAATTCGAATAATGAGAAGTGTTAAACAACCACGAACATCAAAGTTCGGAAACTAAACTCGACATTTTTCCTTTTTTCCTTAGTTCCATTCATATCATAATGTTATTGGCTTATGAGTTATTTCTTCGTTTGTTGCTACAGTAAGGGTGCTCTCACTGTGGGTCTACCTCCGTCTTGGGTCGATGTATCCGAAGAAATAGCTGCAAATGTGCAGCGTGCACGAGTGAAGATGGTGGAGTTAGCTAAAGCTCATGGAAAGGCTTTAATGCCTTCATTTGGAGATGGTAAAGAAGATCAACAGCTAATCGAGTCTCTAACGCAAGACATAACTAATTTAATCAAGAAATCAGAGAAGGGACTCAGGAGATTCTCTGTGGCTGGACCTTCGGAAGATTCCAATATCAGAAAAAACGTTCAGGTATAACTTGAAGATGCAAATGGGTAATATCTGGAAATATATATTATTGATTGAATCACTTTTCTTACGTAGAGCTACTGTTTCGTATTTCTTGTTGTCTCGAGCTTTCAATCGTGCTGAACTTCGTATAAGATCTCTTTCTTAAAATTGAAGTTATGTGTTTGTCAAAGAAGTGCAAGGATACAATGGCTTTGTTTCTTCTCATCTCTCATGGTTCTTTTGTTCTGCCTCATTTGCATTGATTTTTTTTTTACACTGTCAGCTTTCCAGATGACCCTTCCCAATTGTTTCGAACTTTCTCTTTTTGGAATGGAATATTTACGGAATTTCCATGAATAGGATCAAACCTTATTCCATGGTATTTACATGAGATTCCTCTTTCTTATTCTTAAGCAAGTCCTCGAGAGGGTTTGGCTTATTTGATCCATAATTTATGATTCGTCTTTTGTTTCCTTTTCGTTTGTTTCGAGAAATATATCGATCAATTTCGATTCTTTCTTTTTCTATTGATTCTTTTCCGATCGAGATGTATGGATCCATGGGTCTCTGTTTCTATATAGATCTACTCATGGATTAACGAAAATGTGCATATTTTTTTATGACTTCCCTTGGCCACACCCCTTTACCAATGCCTTTTAAGCCTTCAATTCCACTACTCAAGGCATGAACACCTCCGTTTTTGCTCAGCTTGCATTATCTTTATCAGCCAATTCCATTTTAGTTCCAATTCCAATTTTTGGTTTTTTGGTTTAGGCAATTCATACTTGCTTATCGGCATCTTATCTAGCTCGTGAAATGTATTTGACCCTTCATTTTACTAATTTTTTTGGCTGGAAATTTAGATGAGTTTTCTCCTCGTTAACAGTTTTCGTAACAGTCCAAGTCTATCGCTAGTAAATACAAGTATTATCTTTTTTGGGCTTTCCCTTCCAGACTTCCTTCAAGGTTTTAAAACGCGTCTTCTAGGGAGATGTTTCCGCACACTTGTAAGGAATGCTTTCTTCCCCACTCCAACCGATGTGGGAACTCATAGTCTTAGTAGTGTAATAGTTTATTCCAAGCTTTTTGTTCTAGCTGATCTTAAGCGTACAACGGGATAATGGGCAGACAGGGAAGATGATATATATACATATTTCCAATTGAAATCAACATGTTTTGACGTGCATTTTCTCTAAATACTATTTTTACCATTTCATTTCCCCCTCCCAAACTTTATCTTATATGTTTCTATGGTACAGCGATCCCTTGCCACTGACCTTCAGAACCTTTCCATGGAGCTTCGGAAGAAACAATCAACTTATTTGAAGCGCCTACGGCAGCAAAAAGAGGTCTAGAAAGAATATTTCATTTAGCATTTTAACTCCAAATTTCCATCATCATAGTTACTTTGCCTCAAATGAATTATGTTCTTATGTACTTCTTCATGTTCATATGACACTCAACTTCCAAATATATGAATTGCACTTCCATTTTTTTTGTTAATTACTAGGAAGTTCAAGATGGGATTGACATAGAGATGAATCAAAATGGAAATAGATCAAGAATGGAGGACGATGATTTAGAAGACATGGTAGTACCCTTCATCTGCTTCATCTTTTTATTCTCACAAGTTCGAATTCCTTAAGACCTTACTATCTTTTGTATAAATCGTGTGTAGGAATTCAATGAGCATCAGATGGCTAAGGTGCGAAAGAATGAAGCATTCACTGCCGAAAGAGAGCAGGAGATCCAACAAGTGAGTAGAAAAACACTCCCCTAAAATCTCCACTTCTGTATACGTCTTTATTGTTTATTCAGCCAATTCACTTCAATCCAGGTTGTAGAATCCGTGAATGAGCTTGCTCAGATCATGAAGGATCTATCAGTACTTGTCATAGACCAGGTGATTAGAGAAAATTCCCATCCCACATCCTAAAAGTTATTTCCTAATCAGCTCATACTAATTGAACATACATAAGTATTTTTTCGACAGGGCACTATTATCGATAGAATAGATTACAATATTCAAAATGTTGCAACGACAGTTGACGAGGGCCTTAAGCAACTCGAGAAGGTTAGTCTGAGTCCATAATCTCTTTCAATTTCAAAGAATTCTCTCGAGAATCTTTTTGATTCCCTTTCATGCTCATCATTTTATTTTACATTTACGTCGTCGTCGTACGGTCTGAGTCCATAATCTCTTTCAATTTTAAAGAATTCTCTCGAGAATCTTTCTGATTCCCTTTCATGCTCTTCATTTCATTTTACATTTATGTCGTCGTCGTGGTACAGTCAGAGTCCATAATCTCCTTCAATTTCAAATGATTCCCCCGAGAATCTTTCTGATTCCCTTTCATGCTCATCATTTCATTTTACATTTACGTCGTTGTGGTACAGTCTGAGTCCATAATTTCTTTCAATTTAAAAGAATTCTTGGAAGAATCTTTCTAATTCCCTTTCATTCTCATCATTGCATTTTGTATTTAAGTGGTCGTGGTACAATCTGAATCCATAGTCTCTTTCAATTTCAAAGAATTCTCGAGAGAATCTTTTTGATTCCCGTTCATGCTCATCATTTCATTTTGTATTTACGTCGTTGTGGTGTACAGGCGGAGAGAACGCAGAAAAAAGGCGGGATGGTAATGTGCGCAAGCGTTCTCATTATCATGTGCTTTGTCATGTTGGTCCTCTTGATCCTTAAAACCATACTATTTTGATCCTCATGAATACAGTTTCAGATTATGCATAGTTACAAAGTTACCAACACTGTTCCTCAGAGATCTTTAAACGAAAAATTAGTGTCGTTTCCAGGCCGATCAGAGAAATTCTTGAGCAGACAGATAGGATCTCTTATTCAGTGGGTAAATCCTTTTCCCTCCTGTTCGGGTTTTCCAGCCCGGAAAGGGGAAGGATTTAGCTGCTTCTCCTTTCGAGT